CGGAGAGCATACTCTCCCAGTGTGAAAAACAACTGTTTCCACAAGACAGCATAGATTGAAAATCACACTAGCTGTTTGTGTAAAATGTTCAACAGTACAGGGAAACTGTTGAACGGAAGATCATGAAGAGATGATAGCAAGAGATTTCCTCAGGAAGTGGAGTCTGTCGGCCGAAAGATTCCGAATTTTTATGTTCATTTGTTTTTTTAAATAAAAGCGGGGTAAGCCAATCATGAGTAAACCCTTGGTCTAAGGTATAGGAATCAGTGGTCACTAGACGAGATTGGCGCCTTCAGTTTGAGAAAGAAAATATTAGGGTGATTAGTAATAGCCTTGTCCAAAACAACACTTCCTTTGGTGGGTCTCAGAGAGAAAGAGAGAGAGATCTGATAGACCGAAAGAAAATAAAGGTTGGGTTGATCCGTGATTAAAATCCCCAACAACTAAAATTAAATTATCGCCAACTAAGGGAGCATTGAAAGGAATAGATGCATCGTAGAAAGAGCTAATTCCAATTTGTGAGCAAGAAGGGGCAATGTATAGATTGGTAATAATTGTGCTCCGATAACGGGAAAACCGAGGTCAACATGAACCAGTTAGGCAGTCAATACCATAAGAGGAGAAAGAGAACGACGTTTCGCACTTGCCGCACCAACTGGAGTTAATGAAGGTCATTAACCCACCTTCGGACTTCTTTTTGCTTCCCTCTCTGTCTTGTCGAAAACTTGCAAAACCAGGTATGTTGACCAGCGAATCGTCTATGTTTTGGTTGATCAACGATTCCTGTATACATACAAGTGTTTGTATGCACGCGGTAAGTTAATATAACAGTGAGGTCGGCCCGTTTGTTAAACAGCGAACGAATGTTGGAGCTGATTAATCAGGGAACCGTCATCTTCACAGGAGTAAGCGCAGTCTGCCACTCGGCACGCTTTCATTTCTTACTCGTGGCAGAAAATCCAGTTCGGGTAGAACCATGTGAGTTGGATAACACAGAAGAATATTAAATATTCGTGAGGCTTAGTAATAATTCCCTGGGATACGAACGTCGAGAGAACATAGCAGAAAACGAGTAATAAATTCTAACGCGACAGTGAACACAAACGTAGCGCAGCCAATCGGAGGGCGCTCGTCTTCTTGCTCAATGTTTTAGAATAATTGTTATTAACTGGCAATCCTAAATCATACGAAGTTGCATCATTGACAGAGTGATGAGAATAGAACAAATATGTTGTGCGACAAGCTGCTCAAGTTATTTCTCTCGATACCTTTCATCGTTTGTTGTGTCTATTTCATATATGACGATTACTGTAGAAGAATCTAAGTCAATATCACGATGTAAGGTTCTAATCCCGTAGGGAAAAAACTGAAAATGAAGTGAATTGATTGTATTCGTGGCACAGAATATCAATAGGTTACTTCTAACGCAAACATGAGATATTTGGAACTGCATCGAAATCTTTAAATAATATTAATCAATATGTAATGGACTGAACGTGGGATTTTTCCACAGAACTATGCAATTAAATAATACCCCTCTTTTGTCAACAAATTTTAGATTTAATGGAGGCCGGTGAGCTAGATAAACTTGCTCCGAGTGTGAAGACAGTGCTTGTCGCTCTACTGACTGTGCATCACGAAAAGGACACAGTGAATGTTGTCGAACAGTGGAAAGTACGTTCTGCAATACTTCACTATTCGTACGTGCCTGTTATATTAATTTAGATCTCACTTGACGCTCATCAAGAGTTTTGTATGTATGCTTTTGCTCCGGCGACTCATGCACAAAGTACACACTTAATAATACTGATAACACTGTGAAGCAATAAACTTGTAGCACCATTGATTTTTTTTCATTGAAATCATTTGTTCTTAATTGATCTGTTTTGACCTATCCCTATTTTGTCTTCCCATCTGGTTCAGTTCACTTGCTCCGTTTGGCTGACGATTTAGAAATGCACGATAGATAAAATAACATTTAGGGTGGTCGATTTTTCACTTCACTGCCCCAGATTTGGGCGTTACCTTCTAAATTTACTAGAGTTGACCATCATTGAAAAGTACTAAATCGGTTAAATAGATGCTTTTCGTGCCACTTACTAACTCCGATTACAACCAATGGTTTTCTTCAAATGGAATTTACTCTTTTTCAGAAACTAGCGAGAGGACTTTAAATTGGTTTTCCTCTTCAGTTACGCAACTATGGAAGTAGATATTGAAATCAGTAGGAATGATGACCACCATATTGAAGGCACGTAACCCTGTGTGCGGTAAGAACAAACTGAAATTAGAGGCGTATGAACTACACCGCTTATAACGGTTTGTACCCATTTCTATTTTTCATCAAGCAGTATAACTTATTTTCATTTCAATTTTTATGTTCTCGTTTATTTAGAGCGTTTTGAACAATCGTCCTGATGGCTGGGATTTATTGGAACGCATGGACTGTCCCGCTCCAGTCGTCGCGAAACTGTTGTTTGACTGGCTAACTCACTTGAAGGTATGCACATATTGCAAATGCACAAATCCTAAATGTGTTTACGAGTTCTGCTTTGTTCTAAACCAGAATGTAGCTCTTCAGTAATAAACCAATGATAACCCGGTTCTATAACACCGGAACAGAGTCCTTGACGTAGAATATGCCGATGACATCGCCTTTCTGGGTGACAGCACACAGGTAGTCCAACACTCTGAACCGCTTTGGGATCGAGGTATCCAGGTATGGTACGTGCTTTGCGCCGTCCAAATGTAAAGTGCTTGTACAAGACTGGCAGGAGCCTGTGCTTGCACTCACCCTCTGTGGTGATCAGCTGGAAGTGTTTGAGAGCTTTAAGTACCTCGAAAGGTTAATCGCAGCTGATGGTGGTGTCGGGTACGAGATCAGATCACAAATAGCGAAATCTAGAGCAGCTTTCCCCAGCCTGCGACACCTATCGCACCGCCATGACATCTGACTGTCCCTTAAGGGGATGGATGTACATCGTCACGGTTTGTAGCGTTCTACTTTACGGTTACCAGATCTGGCATCTCCTAGTTCAGGATGTTATTCGACTTTCTGTATTCGACCACTGATGTCTCCGAAGCATTTCTCATGTCTGGTAGGAACATCGGGTGAGCAATGACGTCACCGCCGTGAAGTGGGTGTGGGTGGTTTCTCTCTGATGGAAGAAATCGTTCTACATCGCCTCCGATGGCTTAGTCACGTATTGTGTATGCCTACCCATCGAATACCTTTCCGTGCTCTCCTCGCACGTGCCGGGCAAGGCTGGAAGAAGCGCCGCGGCTTCAGACCATGACACAGCGTAGAGGTACGAAGAAGCTTTGGCTTCGATTGCTGCGGCCCGCCTTCAAGGTTGGGGCCCAAAGGATGAGGATTGTCGGTAGTTAACGACGTTGAGTGATATGGACTAGAATAGAAGTCAGTGGTGCGAGTGCTGTACGGTCTGTCTGCTGAAATCCCATGCCCAATAAAAAAACTACAATTTAACACAAAGATATCAAAAGTGTACAGTGAAACAAACAGGAAAATTGTCCTCTTTGTTTTTCAACTTCACTATCTAACCCCCTTTTAGACAGCTTTGTATCCCAACCCCCCATTTTCTTTTATTATTGCGTTACGTTAGTACCAAGCTTGCTTGCAAGCCGGTGATAAATAAGCATATATAACGCAGAAGAACTTAGATACAGCCGCTGCCAAACGTTAAACATTCTCAGTCATTTGGATTACCAATTAAGTGATGATCTAAACACTTGTTTCAAGTTAGACAGTTTCACGCTACTCAAAAGTATACCAATTGCATTTTCACCATCTTCGTTTCATTCGGTAAGAGAAGTGAGCAACTGATCCATGCCGTATTGGACAATCTTCATCTCAAGTCTGATTTAACTCAACCAGCAAATAGATATCGAGTCAGAAAACGTTTGTCATATCTTCGTAGCAGTGAGGTAATATTCTATTCCTAAAGAGTTGAAAAGGTGAATCGTAAAACGATTCTACCAAATTCTAGTATTATATATATATGTATATGTTTTGCAGACCGCGTAGCAGTGAAATTTCGGGCAGTTGCCCCCGTCCGGGCAATGCCATTGGACTCAAACAAAATAACCGAAGCAAACTCCGTTGATCGCTGCCAATTAATTTTACAAAGCGAAAACAAAATGTGAAGTTGATTTGGGAAGGCTTCATACATTAATTTGACTGTCTGTGCATGAGTGCTAACCCTTGTGTACACTTGTATCCATCATCACTTTTATCAGTTTGCGTCTCTAATTGAAAGATCACAAACCATATCTAATTACCATTTGAATTGGGTTTGGACGATAAATTCACCTTGATTCTCTTTTACCACCTTACTAAGACGATAGCTATATGCATATATTACGTTTGTGGCTGGTCATCCGATGGGTCTAGGCAAATTTAGTAAACTCCGATTCCGTCTTTTTATCAGTTAATCACTATTGTTGGATCATTAAGTGCAACATATGTGCCCCACGATTGTTTCATCGGAATCGTGCGATTTATAACGTACGTTTTACTTTCTTCTTCGGGATATACAATCACCATGTTATGCAATCGTATAGCACTTCAGTGTCGGATTGTCGTATCACTATTGTCTTTTCAGTCTCCAGTAGTACGCGTCCAAGATTTTCATTTGATTGACGTTTCCAGCGCTGCTAACGTGATCGAAGCTATGGAACCCCTAGAAACGGTATGTTTTATGTTTTTTTATCACTAAATACTTGTTAAAAATCTATTGTGTCAGATCCTAAGTAAACCTTTTAAAGAAGCCATTTTCTGCGAGTACAACTATGAACTCCACTCCACAGTGTTTAGAACACGAAAAAGGGAGAAACACTACGCGGCACGAGGCAGTCTGTATTGGTTTTACGCTATTCGTAATCGGTACACAAAATCAAACAATGAATAACCTGTTTCGAGAGCGGGCATATCTATGAGTCAGCGGTCGATAAATTTGGGAACAGATCATGCAGGTGGTAGAGCGTGTGCTCAGGTGTGGACGGAAAAGGTCAACGTATGCGACATATCCCCAAGCACACCACATTTGCGGCTGAAAGTCCGGGTACAATGGGGGTCTTCCTCTCTCTTACTCTTACTCTCCAATGTCTCTGATTAAGGAATGATATCTGTTTCGACAGTGAATAAAAACAGTCTGTTTGCTGACTCCCATTTATGTTTTGTTAAATCTCCACAGTTCGATAGTACATATATCCAGATGTCGCCATGACACTTCACGTCAGTTTTTGGCCGTCCCCCTTTGACCAGTTTGTTCTCCATCCATTTGTCACTCCCTATAATAGGCTTGATTTCGACTAGATTCCCGGATGTCGCATCTCGGTTGGCCGAGTTTTGGTTAGAATACATCTTCGTATTATCTCGACGGTCCCACATGGATTCTCTTTGAGCTCCGGTTGCAGTAGATTCAGACGTGGTCACCGTTGGCATCCCTTCAACAGTTCAGATGGCGGGATACACATTATCGCTTGTGAAGTAATCTGACAACCAAACAAGAGCCTATTAGGATGGAGCGGAGAGCTACATTTATGCAGGATGCACTATTACCACATACCACAATATCCGGAACGCCACGCGAATCGAATAAACTCCGATGTATCAGCTCAGTTCTTACAACCATTAACCATGCGCTTTCGTGCCCCGGTCTCGGTTGCCCATTTGGATAAAAGAGCACAATGAAGATTGGAATGTTGAGAGCAGATTCAAGCAGAAGATAGCGAATTTATAGAGACTGATGTTATCAGAATAATCAGTAGATGCATGAGGACCACTGTTTGCGACACCCAGACAGAACTCAGTGTCTCTAATCATCGATGACCATCATCTCGGGGTCCCCAGTCAGGGAGCCTAACGGAACCTATGTGGCTCAGTATCCTGGTTAGGGTTTTCATACCTTCATGTCAGGTCCTCGTTTTACCGCCCTTGACCTTTTTCCAACCGCTACTTAGCTCCGCAAAATTCACTTGCAGCGGCGACCTATCTAGTGACAGGTGTAACACATGCCCCTACCAACGTAATCTATGGAGGTCGATCACTTGCTCCAGTGGACTACTACTACTCCACGCCTGATCTCATCATTGCTGGTCCGGTTATCCCACCAAACTCTTGTGATGCGACATAGACAGTGGTGTTCGAACACCGAAAATCTATTTCTATCCTGTTCCTTTAGTGGCCAAGTTTCTGAACCGTAAAGTAGCCCTGGTCGAACTGCTGCCGTGTATACTCGACCTTTCAGACAGCCGGATTTCGCGGCGGCGTCACAGATGCTTGAAGTTGGCAAATGCCAACCGAGCATTTTGTATGCTCGCCAATACTTCATCTGTGATGCGTCCGCCAGGTGAGATAGACCTGCCCGATGTATTTTGATAGTTGTTCAACTTCTGGAATTCTCAGCGGCCTCAATTTATTCCGCTCCCAGTGGGGTCCCTCAAGGCTCGGTTCTTGGTCCCCTGCTCTTTGTGGTATATGTGAACGACCTGCCCGGTCAACTGTGCAGCCCATCCCTCATGTCTGAGGATGACATCAAAATCTGGCGTACAATCAAGGATCCGAATGATCGAAGTTCGCTTCAAGCGGATTTGACAAACCTGGCTCAGTGGNCTCAGTGGGCGGACACCTGGGCTCTTCCAGTCAACACAGCAAAGTGTGTTCACCTGCATTTGGGGCGTGCTGACTCAGAGGTAGTCTACAACTTCCAGGGAATCACATTGCGCAGAACATCGTGCGAACGAGACCTGGGTGTTATGGTTACGTCATCACTAAAGACCC